ATTCAGGTCTTTTACATCATCTTCTTCTTTCTGCTTTAGACATTGTATGTTCAAGAGCAAATTTTAGAATCTCTTCTGACATCCACCTTGGTTTTTTCTTTCTGTCTTTCTAACGATGTTTTGCTTTCTTCCTGTATGATGTTCTTGACAGGATCCCACAACTTATTTGATATTCAGTTATCAGTGTTCAATGTTTCAAGTCTATTCTTAGGACAGTTTCTAATTTCACACAAGATATGCTCAAGGTCATGCACTGGTTGTCATGGACTCGTTTGAATTTTTTTCAGCTTCAACTTGAACTTGCATGTAAGTAATAGATGGTTTGTTTCCTAGGCAGTCCCTGGCTGTGTTTTGACTCATGATATTGAGTTTCTCCTTTGTCTCTTTCCACAGATATAGTCAATTTGTTTCCTACATATTCCACCTGGCAAGATCCACACATAAAGTTTCCAATGATGTTGTTGAAAAATATATGTGCAATGAATAAATCAACAGTTTTGCAAAACTCTACAATGTGATCTCCAGTGTCACTCCTATTACCAAGGCTATAGTTTTAAACTATTTTTTCATTCCCAACATTTGCATTCCAATCACAGCAATTATCAATGCATCTTGATTGCATGCTAGATCAATTTCAGACTATAAAAGTTAATAAAAACCTTCAATTTCTTTATCTTTGGCATTAGCAGTTAGTATGCAAATTTGAATAATTGTTGTATTAATTAGTCTTCCTTGTGGGTGTATGGATAGTATCCTATATATTAATAGCATTGTACTTCAGGATACATCTTACAGTGTTCTTTCTGATGATGAATGTAAGGCCATTCCTCTCTAATTTGTCATTCCTAGCATAGCAAACCATACAATTGTCTGATTCAAAGAATATTTGATTGAATGCCTACCTTCATTTTCAACATTATTTGCTTCATAGAGTTGCACTATAGGATAAAATAATCAAAAGGTCAGCAGTTCAAACCCACCAGCCACTCCTCAGAAACTCTATACAGGGTCACTATGAGTAGGAATCAACTCGACAGCACTTAACAACAACATAGTTATTAAGGAATCCTGATGCAGTGCTGTAAGATAAGCACTGGACTGTTAACTTCAAGGTCATCAGCAGTTAGATCCCACTAGCTCTTCCTTAGAAACCCTATACAGGGCTGCTTTGAGTTGAAAATGACTTGGTAACCCTTAACAATACCACCATAGTTATTATAATTTCACCAAGTGGCAATCTATAATGACTTCACTCTTCAATAATATCTTGAATTCAAAAGTAAGAAAGATAGAAAAATAAAAAATACAGTTGCTAAGTCAACTAAAGATAAAACTAAGAAATCATATATCATTTGAACAAAGAGAAGGTGACATAGATAGTTTTCACTTTTATTAATATATTTTAAAAATCAGAGACTAGTATGTAGCTACAGAGTCCTTTGTGGCACTGTAGGACAAGCACTGGACTGTTAACTGCCAGGTCAGTGATTCAAATCTACCAGCCACTCTTTGGAAACTCTATACGGGGTCACTGTAATTTGGAACCGACTAGGAGCTCTGGTAGCATAGTGATTATGAGTAGGACTGTGAGCCGCAAGGTCAGCAGTTCGAATCTACCAGCTGTTCGGCGGGAGAAAGATGAGGCTTTCTGCTCCCGTAAAGATTTACAACCTCGGAAACCCTGTATAGGGTCACTTTGAGTCTGAACCGACTCCACGGCACATAACAACAACAGACAGCACTTACCAACAACAACAACAAGGTTATTTATATTAGATAGTCTTCAAATAACCACTGTCATTAATCCCCATTCCCTGTATGCATATACTGTTCTTCCCATGAAGAGGTAGAGTCTAATTTTCTAGGCTGACCTTGTATCTCACTTTGAAGACAGAAAGCGATCAAAGCAAAACTGCCAATTCCAGATCCAGCCTAAAAGAGGCCTGGAAGCTTATGCTTTCTCCTTCTTAGAAAACTCACTCTTGGAAGCCAGCTCTCATGCTGTAAGGAAGTCCTCGCTATTTTGCTGGAGTGACAGGCCATGTGAAAAGGACCTGGAGGATGTGAAAAGGACCTGGAGAGAGAAGCCAGATGGAGGAGAACCAAAGCACCACAGCCAGCACTCAGCACCAAGGTCCCATACATTAAGATGGCTTTCGTGATTTTCTAACTTAGTCATAAACCAGCTGAATGCAGCGGCTTAAGAGACCCATGTTTAAGGCAGGCAGAACTGCCCAGTCAAATCACAGAATGGAGCAGTACCTCTGTTATTGCTGTCCTAAGTCATTAAGTGTGACTGCCGTACTTTCTCCCATGGCAATAAATAACTGAGAAAATTCCTCACACCTAGGCTACAATGCCATTTTATTGTTCAAAACTTCATTTGAGCACTTCTGTCCTCATTTTTCACCTAAAAGTACTAGAAAATGATACTTGCACTGACCTAAGACTAAATATGTATCACAAACTAAGAGAGAAGAATTACAAAAGAGAATTTGTATATTATTAACTCTTTGAGATGAAAAGCAATCTATGATAATAAAATTGTATTCCTTAAGAACTGTAATTATTATGGACAATAAGTTTTTTTTTAAAAAAAAGTATGACAGCCTTAACTTAAAATTTCACAGTTTCTGTCAATTTGACTGTCAACCTTAAAACAAAAAAAGAATTTACATGGAAATTAATATTAGTCAAAAGCATTTTATGTGATTAAATCAGAAACATATTTCATATCTATTTTGACAAAACTTCAGAAAATTTTTAAAGTACTGTTGATACCAAATGCTCATATTCAGCTAATTATACACAGTAATTATCTAGTCTTTACAAATTAAATGTAACTAATTTCAAATTGTTTTCCTCTTTTGGATGGTTTAAAGGGAAAAGATACTGTAAGACTCACACTGAAAAACTGGATCATGGCTATGCTTCCAGAAAAATTAACCTCCTAAAACCAATCATAAGGATTTAGAACTTTTTACAAAGTTCTATTCTTTCCTTTTATATAATCTCTAACATGTTCATGTGTCTTTGTTGGGTTAAGTAATATACAGACGTGATGAAAAACTTTTGGAAATAGAAAATGATGGGGTTATACAACATGGTGAATGTACTTAATGCCACTGAAATACACAATTTAAATGACTATCTTTTGCTATACATATTTTACCACACTGAAAATTTTTAAGAGGAATGAATATGTAATGACTGCTTAACGTTGTTGTTAGTAACTGTATCATTGATTCCGACTGAAGATGACCCATGTGTGCAGAACAGAACCGTTCCATGTAAATTTATGTAAATATAATCAAATCATATACACACACATTATAAGAAAAAAAGTCAACAAATGTAGGTACAAAATTAACATATAAGGGAGCTTCAAAAAGTTTGTAGGAAACTTTCATTATCTTTCAGAATTTCTTTTTTCCACAAACATTTTGAAACTCCTTTGTATAACTGATGAAGGATCCAAAGAACCTCTCTGGAAAAAAATACATACATATTAATATATTTGATTTTTTAAAAAGATTGTAAAATTTAAGTCCTTACATTTACAATGTAGAGCCAAACCAAATAAAGCCCAGTGGGGCAGGGCACTGAGGGGTAAAGGGCTTCCAAGAAGTTCACCCCTCTTTGCATATCTCTCTGTCCTCTGGTGCTTACATGAGGAAAAATCCCAAACCTGCTGCAAATGACTCATTTCTGGTTCACAGTGACACAATGGGACAAAGGAAACTGTCTGATCATACCCGACGAGGAGGTCAATTTTGACAGCATTGGTTATACCACTCCTCATCTTTGGAGGAAAGCTAATTCAAGCAATGTGAGATCATGTGATTCAGCATGTCCCTCCAGCTCTTCTTTCTTCTCATACTAGCCATTGCTTGTCATCACTGAAGCCAAGGAGTATTTGAAGAACTCCCAAGAACTGGAATCAGACATAATGGGAAAGCAGAAGCACTGCTCAAACTTTAAACCAAAATCCTGCGATTATATCCAGCTATTCCCAGAGAGACCTTACATTGTTGTTGTTGTGAAGTGCCATGAGTCGGTTCCAACTCAGAGCGAACCTGCATAGGGTTTCATAAGAGCGGCTGGTGAGTTTGAACTGCTGACCTTTCTTTCCTTTTGGAGTGGCCTCTTCAGAAACCTTACTAGGCATGTGAGAATGGAATCTTGGTAAATCAAGATCAGGCACTTTTGAGTCCTCTAGGAATGGGAACCCACTCTATAGCACTTAACAACAACAATCAAATAATTAGTGAAAACATTGTATTTAAAGTTTGCAAAATAGTATACATATAATAATGAAAAAAAATATATGAGGTAATACAATGCCACATCAGTCACACTCCCAAATAACAAGTCCTAGTAGCCTTCAGAGGAGTCCTGGTGTGATGCTGTGGGCTAAAGCATTCAACTGCAAAGCTGATTTGAAAAACAAGGTCAGCAGTTCAAGCTCATCAGCTGCTCCTTGGAAACCCTATACAGGATTGCTATGGGTCAGAACTGACTCAATGGCACTCAACAACAACAAAGTAGCCTTTAGAAGGAACCAAGGTGGTGCAGTGGAATGTACATTAGAATCAGTGAGAAGGAAGACTAGTATTCAGTGCTAACAATGGTAAACTAATGAAATGATGTTTCAATTACTTGGTATTAAACAACATTTGTTGCTGTTGCTGCTAAGTGCCACCGAGTAGGTCCTGACTCATAGTGACCCTGTAAGGAGTTTCTGAGGAGTGGTTGGTGAGTTTGAACCACTGACCTTGCGCAGTTCAAACTAACCTTGCAGTCCAGTGCTTTATCTTACAGCACCCCGCCAGAACTCTAGAAATGATCATAGATATTTCCAATTCACCAAACAAGAACTACCCATGTTTGCATATTGTAAAATAATCCACTGACACCTCTTTGTAAATGAAGTTTTCAGCATATTTCTTCCAAACTAATAAATGTGCCAAGTAGGAAAATAAGTGATCATTAAATTTTACCTTTCTTTTATGATGTGTTGTAGAAGCATCCATCTCTTCCTCTCCTATATTATCAATTTGTGAAGTTGGGCTACAATTCATTCTCTCTTCTTCTTGCCGCTGCAATCTGTCTGCTACAGCTTGGATAGCTTCTGTCCATTCTTCCCTATGAAAATGAAGAAAATGTCTCATTAGTAAACCAAAATCAATCCAAACCTCTCGCCATCAAGTCAATTCTGACTCATGGGAATCCCGCGGGTTAAGGAGTAGAATTTTTGCACAGGGTTTTCCTAGCTGTAATCTTGTAAGAAAGCAGAAGCTTTTCTTCTTTGATGTTATCGGGCAAGTTCAGATTGTCATCTTTCAGTCATTAGTAAAGCACTTAATTATCAGACTCACCCAGGAACCGTTTCTTATTAGTGTTGTTATTGCTGTTAAGTGCCGTTGAGTCGATTTCGACCTATAACGGACCCAGTACAGGATTTCTGAGGAGCAGGCAGTGAGCTTGAACCACTGACCTTGCAGTTCAAACGGCTTTGCAGTCTAGTGCATTAACCCACAGCACCACATATTTTTATTAATAGAAAATGATAAATCATTTATAATATTTTCATTTATAAAACACAGTATCTACACAAATGTAGTCTAGGCCCAAATACCTTAATAATATAATGCACACACATACATTCTCCTATTTTCATTAAAGTCCTAATTTCCATTAAAAGTCTAGTGTTTGTAGTAGCATTTATCTGGAGGTATGTCCAAAAATAAAAGAAAGGACTATTTTTAAAATCTACTTAAATTCTTTAGAAATATAGGTGAATTTTATCTGATTTATCCTAGTGTGATCACTTGCAGAGAAAATTTACCCATATGGAGTCCTGGTGTGGCACTGTGGGATAAAGCACTGGACTGAAAGGTCAGTGTGAACCACAAGATCAGCGGTTCAAACTTATCAGACATTCCTTGGAAACCCTATACAGGGTCACTATGAGTCTAGATGGCACTTAACAACAACAACAGTGTGATGGTATAGGACAAGCACTGGACTGCTAACCCCAATGCTAGTAGTTCAAACTCACCAGCCACTCCTTGGAAAACAGGGTCAATATGAGTCTGAACTGACTCGACAGCACTGAACAACAATGTCATTCTACCTTTAAAAAAAATCCTAAAAAGCATGCTGTTATTTTTGTTAAACGTTCTCTTTTGTTGTTGTTGTTGTTGTTATGTGCCGTGGAGTCAGTTCCGACTCATAGCGACCCTGTAACAGGGTTTCCGAGGCTATAAATCTTTACGGGAGCAGAAAGCCTCATCTTTCTCCCGCGGAACAGCTGGTAGTTTCGAACTGCTGACCTTGCGGTTCGCAGTCTCTTTAGCCACTGTCAAACATCACTGATGTGCCCAGGATCTTTAGTGAGGTCTAACAGGAGTCCCAAGAAAAAGTTTTCTAAGTCAAAGCATTTCACTGTAGCTAAGTCAAAGTTTATCCTATAAGAAAATTATAGGCATTGTTTGTAGCTCAAACAAGTATCAAGTTTTACTTTTTGGACAGATGGGCTATCCCGTTAAGGTTCTTTTTTCCAATGGTTTATCCAGTTAAGGTTCATTTTTTTTTTTTTTTTCACAAATCAAAATTTTAATTGGCATGCCAGTTTCTTCCCAAGAAGTCTGTTAGGGTTTTGAATGGAAAGGCACTAAATCTACATATCAATTTGAAGGGAACTATCAATTCAATAAATTTAAGTTTTTCAAATCATGAATTTGGTAGAGCACTATATTTATTTAGGTAGGTCTTTAATTTACCAATACAATGCTTTGTAATTTTCAGTGTAAAAGGTATTACAGACTTCTAACTGAATTTATTACAAAGCATTTTTGCGGCTATCATAAAGGAGTTTTTAAACAATTTTCTAATTGTATTCTCCACCCTTACTAAACTCACTTATTTATTCAAATAGCTTTTATTTTTATTTTCTACATATTTTCTTAAATTAATGAACTTTATTGCTTCCTTTAAAATCTGTACACCAATGATTAATTTTTCTTGCCTTATTGCTCTAGATTAGCCCTCCAGTATAATGGGAAACAAAATAATGAAAGAAGACATCTTTGCCTTGTTCTGGGTCTTAGGGATAAGCCAGTGAGTCTTTTTATCCTTGAGTATTATGCAAACTGTAGGTTGTCTGTAGACATGCTAAAGCACACAGAGTAAGTTCCCTGCTAGTTCTAGTTGGCTAAGAGAAGTGAATAGAAAATTTAAAAGAGCAAGTGAAGAAGATAAAGTCAAGTATTACAGTGAAATGTGCTTATAAACCGGAAAATAGAAAACCAAAAGGGAAGAACATGCTCAGCATTTTTCAAGTTGAAGGAACTGGAAAAAATTCAAGTCTTCAGTTGCAATACTGAAAGATTCTATGATCAAAATAATGAATGATGCAGGAAGCCTCAAAAGATGGAAAGAATAGAGTCACTGCATCAAAATTCAGCCATCACAGGAGCTCACATATGATCAAGATATCAATGGTACTTTAGGAAAATGTCTAAGCTGTACTGAAAGCACTGGCTAAAGACACAAGTACAGGAACTCACAGATAGTTGTGTAGGGTTGATAGTATGTCTTCATTAAACATCTGACAATTTATCACTGAAGCCACTTGGGCCTAGTTTTCTTTTGAGATAAGGTTTTTAATTACTAATTCAATTCCTTTCATTAGCAATGGATGGTCCAAGCCTTTTCTGGGTCCACACTAGTAATTTTTGTGTTCTTTTTTTTAAACTGACCTAAAAGTTTTCCAAATTCTATTGATTTATTTCAATAACCTCATACGCATGTGGAATCTGGACAGTGAATAAGGAAGATCGTAGAAGAATTGATTCTTTTGAGTTATGGTGTTGGAGGAGAATATTGCAAGTGCCATGGGCTGCCTAAAGAACCAATAGATCCGTGTTGGAAGAAATGCAGCCAGAGTGCTCCTTGGAGGCCAAGATAGCCAAACTATGTCTCTCATACTTTGGACATATTGTCAGGAGGAACCCGTTGCTGGACACAGGTATCACGTTTGGTAAGGTGGAGGGTCAGAGAAGAAGAGGAAGATCTCCAGCGAGATGGATTGGCAAAGTGGCAGCATCAATGGGCTCAAGTGTGACAACAGTTGTGAGGTTGGCCCAGGATCGGCAAGTGTTTCATTCTGTTGTGCATAGGGTCTCATGAGTTGGGACCAACTCAGCGACACCTAACAACAACAACATTGACTTATTTATTCTTTTTTCCCCCGAAAGGTTCACTATAAGTCTGAACTAACTTGAGGGCACTTAACAACAATAACATGAGGAAAGCAAACAAGGAATATGCTTGACATAAGTACAAAGAGATTGTGAATATACAGTAGGGTGTCTTACGAAACTGTAAGAGTCAGAGAAAGTTTAGTAGGCAAAGTGAAATTTCAAGCTTAGATCTAAAATATACTTAGGAATGAGTCCTAACCATAGTTATGGGTAGACTTCAGCATATGGAAAGGCCTGGGGGAATTAGAGGGAGGGTGACAACACAAAGCTATTACAGTACACATGTACTGTTGTTGTTATTGAGTACCACAAATTTGATTCTCACTCATATAGACCCTGTAAAGGGTTTACAAGGAATGACTGGTGGGTTTGAACTTTCAACCTTTAAGGCTAGCAGTCCAATGCTTATCCCTGTTGTTGTTAAGTGCATTCAAGTCGGTTCCAAATAATAGAGATCCTGTATAGGGTTTCGGAGGACCAGCTAGTGAGTTTGAAATGCCGACCTTGTGGTTCAAACTGACTTTTGTAGTCCAGCGCACAAACTCTCAGCGCCATAATAGCACTGCAAATATACAAGAGACTTAAACATATATTGCACAGAATAAGGCCAGAAGTATATAAAATAAATATTATTGTTGCTTAATTCTGCTTAGTAGAACTAGAATTATGAATAATTTCTATTTCTTATGTTTCTTTTCTGTATTTCCCAAAGCATTATCATTCATTGCTTACTAATCAAAACAAGAATTACTATAATAATACTTCACCATTTAGTAGTATTTCTTTGGGTTTGTTTTTTATTTTTTGTTGATCTGACAAGTCCATTAA